TGTCCAAAGGGATCCCTTTAGCATCTCTTGTAAGGTTGGTCTGGTTTTAACAAATTCCCTTAATTTCTGCTTATTTGGAAATGTCCTAATTTTACCATCATATTTGAGGGACAACTTTGTTGGGTCCATAATTCTTGGTTGGAAATTTTTCTCTTTCAGGGTTTTATATATACCATACCATTGTCTTCTTGTCTGCATGGTTTCTGTTGAGAAACCCAAACTTAGTCTTATTGGTTGCTCCTTGTAGGTAACTTTTTGTTTTCCCCATACTACTTTCATGGTTCTTTCTTTATCTTTGGTTTTAGTGAGTTTGATGATGATATTTCTTGGTGATTATCTTTGGGGTCTATTCTGTTTGGTGTTTGTTGGACTTCTTGAATGGATATATTCTCATCTTTCATCATACTAGGAAAATTCTCTTCCAACAAATCTTGGACAATTTTCTCTGTGGTTTTATTTGTCTCTTCCTGTTCTAGAATTCTGATTACATATAGGTTTTCCTTCTGGTAGTATCCCATATGAACCCTAGGCTTTCTTCATTTTGTTTTAATTTTTTTTTCTAATTTATCCCTTTCCAAAGAAATGTTCAGATATTTGCCTTCAATCTCACTAATTCTGTCTTCCATTGATTCAGTTCTACTCCTTTGCCCATTCAGTGTCTTACCTATTTCTGAAAATTTATTATTAATCTTCTGGATTTCTGTGTGTAAATTTTGTATCATTTATAATTTTTTATTTATTTTGTCATTTTGTTCTTGTATTGTCTTTTGAACTTTCTGTAGGGTTTTCTCCATGTTTTCCTCAATTTTGTCAGCCTTTTCCTTGATCTGCCTCTCAATTCATTGAAGACACCTAAATATAATTGTTTTGAATTCCTTATCAGGGAGTTCCAATGCTGCATCTTCCTCAGGGATGTGTTTTGGGTCTGTATCTTGGTCCCTTGTTTCTCCTGCTTTCTCCTGCTTCTTTGTGTGGATTATGATGCTCTGTTGTTTCCAAGGCATTGTGACATTTTTGTGTTTATATTTAATTGGTGATTGTATATTGGAGTGACTCACCCACAATTTTTGTTTTCTTTGTATGTTATCTACGTAAGCATGGTACTGTGTTGTGCACCTCTATTCACTAGTTGACAGCACTTATACACTCACCACCTGTCTCTTTACCTGTTGTCAGCCTCTCATATGTCCCTGCTGACCTTGGCAAACAGAGTCTATTCTAAGGTCCCTGGAATCCAAATGAGAATGCTGTCACTTTGAAATCCAAAATAGCTGCCACTTGTAAAGATATTCAAAATGTGCCCAAAAAACTACTTCAAGAAACCATAAGAGATGTATGTAAATGGAAGAACAT